CTCAGTACGATAAATATAATACTATAAAACTGTTCTACATTTCTTTTCTATAACTTTTTCTTTTAAGTACAGTACTAGCCCCCCATAAAAAACCCTACCCTCAAACCAATTTACTATAATTAAAATCCGCTGGAGATAATTGTATAAGAACTACACAGAATATCTAGTTTGTGAAATATTTAGTTCTCTGTGTCTATATAATTTCTAAACTGTCCAATCATCATCACCAAGAATAAACAAACAAACAAGCAGATGAATAAACGAACAAACACAGAGATTCAGAAATATGATTGAGGAGGCTGATATATCCTTGTCATAGTCAATACAAGCCTTTTTTCAATTCTGTGAGAAGGTCTACTGTATATGTTAGGTTCTGATGTTGTTTCTGTCCAAACCACAAGAAACTTACTTGACAAATACCAGGGAAAAAAAATTCCCTTCTAGCCCAACTCTATCATACCACTTATTTTATCACTCTTGCTGGGAAGGCCTCTCAGCAGAACTGTATACTCAGAAATCTACCAACGTGGTCAGAAATGAAATGATGAAATTTGCCACCGTTCAAACTTATCCATACTTCTCACTTATGACATGATTGATTTTCCTTCAGAATGCTCAAATATGGAATTGTCTTCCTTTTTTTTCACTACGGTAACAGCTAATGTATACAGCCTTGGCTTGTCTGGGAAACGCAAGAAGTTGACATGTAGAAGAACAACTGAAATGAATACGGATGAAATTTGAAAGTGCAATTTTCCATCTGCCAATCACCTTTTAAAGGCACAAGTTAACCACCAATCAGGAAAATCCTTTGTGAGATCATATTCATTTACAATTTCCATCTGATAGGTCAGCTAGCCTCATTAATCAAGCTTTTAGAATCTGATACAACTCTTGATCATGTATTCTGCTTTTCCTATTGCTCTAGGAATACTGTATTGCATTTTCTCAATGTGTTATTGATAATTTATATTATGAATTAAAATATATAGCCTCTTTCTAGATGGAATTTGATTAGGTGACTACAAAATCTATTTCCCTTGTTATGGTACATAGCAGATCATTTCCTAGAGCTTGGCTCAGAAGAAAATGTGTGGTATTTCTAGCATTAATAATGTATGGTCACCAAAACCCATTCTGGCCATAGCTTCAAGATGTTTCAAAATACAGCCAATTAAGGTTTATTTAATTATTAAGGTTGAATAAATAACAGTGAAACATGTTAAAAATCTTTCAGTTTCAGTCAATCATAATAAAAAATTAATGAGACTGGATAGAGAGCCATAAAAACTGATAGACTGCAATCGTGAATTATAAATTGGTATTGATTTTTTCTTTTGCAATAACACTCTCAGGTAATCGTATGTTGCCACATGTAAAGTGCACTCTCCTGGTTGAGACTAATATTAACTATCAAATATATATGAGATAGAGGCATTATGACACTTCAGATTTCCCAAACAAAAAGCAAAACTACAATTTGTGGAATAATAGCAACATAGTACACAGAATCCTATGGTGTTTATGGGAGCAGAAAGGGATCCCACTGTGCCATGAATTCATAAGGCATAGTTACCTTATTCTTCTCCTGCCATTCCTTCTCTGATATGTTACCTTGTTAGTTTCACTAAGAAAAGCATAAATATTTTTTATTATTTGAGAGGCTCATCCTGTCTTGCTTAATAGACAGGCCACATGGAGTTAAAGCCATATTATATGGCCTGGTGCAGAAGTGATCATTCAGAAAACCAAAGCACATATTTTATACTGCCTGGCTTTATTAATTCTAAGCCCCCAAGAAATAGTGAGGGGATTTTCCAGTCTTCTTTTTATTGAAGTAACATGGAAACAAATAAGACATTTCCCTAGGCTAGCTCAGATAAAGTGGACAATTACTATTGGCATTCTACATGTAAATATTTAACACTTCACAGCTAGTTTGCACCTAAATGCCCATTAGATGTTGCTACAAGCCTAGACACCATTTCCCCATAGAGCTACACTGGCCTCCCTCAGCAGTGTTTATTGGATTAGGGCAAACACACATCTTGTTCTAAATAGCCCTAGAAAGGGACTTGGTTTAAGTGAGAAGAGAGAACCTCCCTCCTGACCAAATGTCTTCCCTGAGTGACACAAACGAACTCCTCAAAGAAAACTCAAGGAAAACCAGTCGCTGTAACAGATTTTCTCTTGACCTGGATAACTGATAAGCCCCTTTTGCAGTTCATTAGCCACAATGATCAAATTTACCCAGAGAGGGTTGCAGTGACTACTGAAAGATATTGCTATCTATTTGAATATAGTTTCTTCATTGGCTTTTCAACACACATTGTGTCTTAATAAAGAAAAAGATCTTTCCAAAGAGTGTAAAGGTCAAATTTATTTCTAGCAGTGAAAAAAACAGCTTGAACATGTGAACAGAACTGAAGCTACATGTAATATACATACTTTTCCATTGATTTTGTCTCTTTTTATAGGAGATTTATATATTGTGTGCAAATCTTTAAGTGCATGGAATGTGCATACAAATACAAATAGTAATAATTTTAACAAATTAATTAAGGCACTTCCAAATGTTCCTACAACTAGTCAAAAGACCATTTTCCTTATTAACCATTTTGAATAGAAAAACACAGAAGTCAAGAAAACACAGAAGACTTTCTGATAGAAGATATTACCAACTAGACCCCCTTGTTAAATTCTGTGAATGAGGAAAGGCACTAAAAAGATTCGCCTAGAAGTTTAGTATGCTTTAGGATGCAATATTATGCATGTTTAGACAGGAAAAAAGTCCTACAACTCCCAGCATTCCTTAGCCAGGATGGCTACAACTGGATGTTGTGGTCTTTTTCTTTTCTAAACATGCATAGGATTCTGTCCTTGATGACTCAGTATTTATCAGTGACTGAATTTGACATATGAAAGTAATGCTCACAAATTCTGAAGCCATAGTGGGCTGAGACATGGGCTAAATAGTGGGCTTACACTAAGTTACAACTAACTCTGAACATGTTCACTAATGTTTAGATCTTTCTTTCAAGTAAGCATAATGGGCATTACAGTACTGAGGATGCTTGTCATGACATTTCCCATAGTTACATCCATAGGAGTCTAAAACAACAGCCAGTAGTGTTAAACCATATATTTACAAATCCTAGTAGTTTTTATCCTAGGAAAACAGGAGAGGACTTTTGTAAAACTAATGGAACTTAATTGCTGAGTCAAGACAAGCCACCCCCAAATACTTTGTTACATGAAGGAACAATATATTATATGTTAGGAAAATTCATTTCCCCAGATGCTACATGAATTACAGCTAAGTTCAGAGAAAACAGGGAATCCGATGGGAGATTTCTTTTGTGTACTGCAACTGTGCCCTATGGGAAAGTTCTTCTTTCACTGGAAAAGCCCACCTATAAGTTTCTATTTTATAATGAATGGTTATATTTCTGGACCTAAGTCCAAATTGCAAGAGTTCCACAAGGTAACCCTTTCCTGCTGCCACCAAGTCTGGTACAATTCAGTTCAAAAAGAAACTAGAATTTCCTGCTGTGCACATGTGTATTCAAGTAATTTGATACATTTATTTGGGGTAGAGAAAGATGCTTCTGAAATGTTTGACATTTTTGTTTGCCTTTTCTTTCTCTTGCTAACTAGTCTGTATTTCTTAAAGAGTGGGATGTTGCAAATTTACTCCTACTATACTTTGAAAATCAAGTATTGATAGTTATTGATGGCTATTGTATAGAAGAATGTTATAAACTTCTAATTATGTGTAACTAAAATAACTTGGTATGCAGAACAGTCCATGTTTTAGCAGTAGTGTCTCACACATTAAGATTATTTTTGTTATGGCTACTTCTCTCCATGCCCCTTAACAGTTTTGCATTTAGGAAATAATAATGGAATAGTTTTCTCAGCAACTTAAGTGAAGTTAGAATTCTAACCTAAGTCTTATGGAATGTATGGCTTCTGCTGCCTTCCTCCATTCTCATGCTTTGTTTTCATAGAATCATAGAATAGTAGAGTTGGAAAGGGCTGTGAGAGCTTTGTGTGGCTCAGAAACTGAATTTTACTCATGCTTATTATCAATATTTGCTCCATAAAGAATCAGTCAAACCCAACACAAACCTAGGTTCATTTAAGCCCACTGATTTCCATAAACTTAAGTAGAATGTTATCAATGTTTGATTATGGCCATAATCCCAAATTATTGTATCTCCCTTATGTCAAAATACATGGGCAATATTTATTTATTTATTTATTACCAGGTACATTGAGGAAGTACTGATGAATGCATCCTTGTTTAACTGCCCTCTGGATATGCATCTACAGGACAAAGTAGTAGGCAGGTATAATTTAAGTCTCCTGTGCCAGCAATCACTACTATCTCCCTGTACCTGGAACTATTGAAAAAACTTGTGTAAACTGTCATTGGCAGTTTTCTAAGTAACTGAAAAAGCACAAGTTAAGTATGAGCCTCCCCACAAACATCTAATTTTCCAACCATATTATTTCTTTCTTCAAACAGCATTCTCTTCCTCCCATCATGGTCTCAGTTACACAGTTAGATCATGTAATTAGAAAAAAAAACAACATGGAAAATCATGAACTAGAAATAAAAGGATTGGACAGACAAAAGCATCTTTCTGGCATTACAATACCTTTTGACAGCAGGTATCCGCATGGTGTTGTCCAACTAAACTGTTTGCTAGGGAGGACTTATGAGTACAATAATATTACCAGCCCCCTACTAGGCACTTTGTCAGAGTACTTAATATATCTAAAAGTCTCAAACTATTGCTGTTGGTTTCTATCCATCCTCTAGCACTTTACACAAATGTCTGTAGAGTACCCCTGTTCCAAAACCCTTCACTCTCAGTACTGACCTTTGTGCTCTGGAAACAATTACTCCTAGAAAGCCTGTCAATATCATTATTTTTACAAGAAATCAATACGCCTCACAAAGTTAATGGGGGATTCAGGCAGCAAGCGTTTACCTTCTTACTGTCAGTGGTGCAGCAGGCTGTGCTCTGGCACAGATGACAGATTCGCCTAGACATTGAGCAGACAGTAAGCAATGGATGTAAAGGAGAAATAGGCTGCAAGCAGGCGTGGAAAACGTCAGCTTCTGCAGGCATCTATGCTCTAACAAGCCAAAGATGTCAGTGTCTTGTACTGCCCACTCTGGAACAACCAACAGAACAGAAAAAGCTAAGAAAATGGGGATTAGAAAACGGCTGTATTTTAAATATAAACAAATCATAAAATAATAAAAGAAGGTAAAATCTATGTGTAGAGTCTGTTAAAGAGGCTCTTTCATGGAGCACTCCCATAGCATTTTTAGGCAGCAATTGTAAAACAATACAGAACTATGAAAGAGAGAGAAGGAAAAGTTGGCTCACTGAAGCACAGGTTTGGCTTTAGATAAAGATGAATTTGGCCCATCAGGTTAATCGCCTCTTTTAATATCCCCCTAAATTAATGTCTGTATTTTCATTTGAAAGTATTTCACATGAAGTCATCATTGTAAGGCCACTAACAGATTCTAAGGCCACTAACTGCTAACAAAGATTCTAAAACCAACAGAGTCCTTTGGAACATTTAAAGAGCACCAAGCCATTTCACATGGGTTATTGAAAATAGGCATACATTGTATATCTTGATTTTTAAAGCTACTTTTTGAATAACAGAAATGAAAAAGTAGAGAAAAATAATGTCAAGACTTAAGAGAATCTGCATTTACCATCCCTTCAAAAGCCCCCAGGCATCTCTTTAACTGCACAGATGTATAAACTTATAATATTCTCCATGTTTTGTATCACAAGTTCCCAGATGAGCTGCAAACTGCACCAGAATGCCTCTTGTCAGCAGACCTGGGAACTATGTGCATGGCAACAAGAAATGTGGTGTGTGTGTGTTTTACTACACTAGCTTCTGAGATGTTTATGATCTGCATACATGCTTGCCAGTAGAACCAATCCTTTCTCATATCCTTAGGTCACTTCTGATTTTGGTTTACTGTACCAGTGAGAACTGTGGCTGCATGCCTGTACACACTTCTTTGAACACTTCAGGGCTTACTTCTAAGAGATATGCAATGAGTTCTATTATAAAATGCTTAATTTAGATAACACATGAAATGTTATACTTATTACTTTAAAAAGCTTTTTTGCTTGTTTTCTTTCTTAAACTCTTTTAAAGAATTCTTTGGGAATTTTAAGTATTCTAAAGTTGTCTGTGCATGGATTATTATTTACACATTACCCTTCTCGTCTATCAAACTGAAGATCTAGATGATTTCAACACATGGTGGGGTTAAAATATTTTTGAAGCTTCCTTCACTTCTATCAACAGTTTGGAATTTACATTAGTGCCTTACATCATTACCTTAGTGTTCACAGCTTTTTAAGGCCTTAATGCAAACCACATGCAGAACCAAGACTGCTTGCAAAGCCTTGTAAACAGCTGTTTTCTGATTGGCTACTGCAGGATGGGAAATGGAAGGTCTCAGAGGGGAAAAAACAACAAACAGATCTCTTGTCTACAAAGCAGAACTCAAAACATTTTTCATGCATTGTGGGCTCCTCTAGAAGCAGCAAGCTGTTTAAAAAATACCTTGCCCAAATTGAGCATTTGCTTGACATGATGGAAAAGTGAGTGCTATTTTCTGTTATACTGCCCCTATTCTACATCGACAAGAATATATTTTTTGCTGTTCCCAACTGATTTCACAGTAGTGAACTCCATTTATGAATTATCTGACACATTTCTTGCAATTCTTCTGACAACAGTGCTCAGTGGAAATTTCAAGGCCCCTCTCTTCTGACAAGTAGAAATATCAATATTTGAATAAATTGTGGATTTTAAACTTCTCACTCTGATGCACCACAGCAAGGAAGACTGAATTTTTCTTTTACTGGGCCTAATCCCCTTGAGCCCAAAGGAAGAAATCTGTATGCAGCGTTTCATTACAAGAAAGCTGTACTGAGTGACATTTGAAGCACACATCTAAGTCGACCTGATGAAGTTTACTTCCTTCAAACAACAAATAGCAGCTTTGTATTATTTCCCCTTCTTGGGGGTGGGGGGGGGAGGTAAAAGCATGATGTCTGAGCAAAAAGCCGAAATGTTGATTCACAAATTGACAGGCCAATCTTTAAACAAATGTGTTTCTTCGGGGGAAAATGCAGCTTTGTTCAAGCTGAGCATTTTTCTTGTGCCTGACAGAAGCATTCCGAGGCTGATTAGAAGGAACTTGTTAGGGTTCTCTCTCAGACACTCTGACTCCACTTTTTAACAAGCATGCAAAGAAAATAACATAAAGATAACAAAACAGTGTCATTACCATCTATGAGGTCTATTTGTGTTATTTATTATTTATTTAACATGCTCACAATTTTTACTTTATGCCATATGCACACCAAAATGACTTCAGCAGCTTCATACTGCATCCTGAATAGCATATTAAATCGCATCATGCCTATTTTATTTTATGCTGTAGAACTGTATTAACCAGATTGCATAATTATTAATCAAGTAAAAATTTGTTTGGTAAAGTGAAATCTTTAGTATGCTCTAATGAAATTTAGTGAAAGAGATAAAAGCCACAAACAAAGGGAATCAGAACATTCCAAAATCCCATGATGCCCAAATAAATTTCAAGTATTGCAGAATGTGGCTTCAGATGTACTTTGACATGAACAACACATCTGTAATTATTAGGGCAAAATTTAATCCCCATCCTTTCTTGGCACCCACCAAAGAACAGTGGCCCTCATTTTCAAACTAAAGTTGGGGAGAACACATTTTGTTACTGGCATCTGGGGTTGCTGTGAAATAGTTTTCTGATGGTGCTGAAAACTGTAGACTGAAAGGAATTGTCTAATACATTAGGATTCAGACCCCCACCTTTTACTGCATAATTTTTATAAATTACTTGTCTGTTGTTGCATCTCCCATTGAAGTAATTTTCAGTTAGGGCCCACAACAGTTCCTGAATTTATCAAATGTGCAGCTTAAAAAATTTACAGAAGGTAAGTCATCCTTCTTCAGCATGGTATCCCGCAGATATGCTAAATTATAATTCCCATTATTCCCAACATGCATGACACAGTGCTAAGTTTGGAAAGACTGCAGGAATTGGACGACTAACTTGGAAAGAAGTATATCACCCCAGTAAAGCAGGCACAAATAAAAAATAATGCTCAGATACTGAAATAGAAACAGAAACATAGAAACAGAGTAAGTCAGAAGGGACCTCCCGAGCCTACCAGTCAGACCCCTGGCTCCAGCCAGCTCCACTCCACTCATGACATGCCTACCATGTGCATGTCCAGCCTGCATGTCCTTGAACACCCTCACCGATGGGGCTTCAACCACCTCCCGTAAAAGTCCATTCCATACGTGGGGTCCTAACTTTCAGGAAGTACTTCCTGGCATCCAAGTTGAACTTTGATTCCCTGAGCTCTGCTCCATTGGAATGTGTCCTACCCTCCTTTGCAGGTCTCTACCCACCTCCATGTAGCGGCCCCTCATGTACCCCCTCATGTACCTAAATACATTGCCAAGTTAAGAATATAAGTAGCATTTTGTTTATTTGAAAAGTTGTGCCCTATGCATCACAACCCCATAAGGAGCATACTGACATTTATAATTCCAAATAATGTAGATTTAGTTTTTTCTGCATGTCCTGTAATTCTAACCCAGTACTTTCCAATCCAGGCTTGGAAAATTTTCTATTTTTAGCCATGCTGAAAGTAGAACAAATCAGGTGAGATATTTCTATACTTACGTTCACATCAGACAGCAACAACAAATGTGCATTTTAAATTAATGATTAATTTGCTTCATTTAAGACTCAATATAATATTTGGAGACACATTATGAAGTTTTCTTGGTAACTTCTAACATTAATTAACTTGCATCTTATTTCTTACAAAGCTTATTCTTCAATACACTTGCAAACGAGTTGTTGCTTCTAGAAGCTTATATACAGAGAAGTTTGGTAGAAATCCTTTTCAAGGAAATATCTGTGAAGAAATAATATTGCACAGCATTCCAAGTGACAGTTTTCAGACAAAAATTATCAGATGGATGTTCAAGTAACAAAGTAACAGATTAGTGTTTTGTCAGATGTAGTTGTTTGCAAGATCTATTAGTGCTTTGCAAAATTTAGAAAAACTAATCTTAAATGGACAGCATGTCTGCTTCTGGGGCTCAACCTTCATGAATAGCAATAGTGAATATAGTAAACATCAGCAGCTGCTGGGCCCCAACCCTTCTTGGCCTTCCCACAGATTTGTCACATGGCTGCACAGTTTGCTACTCTAAAGATAAGGGGATATTGTGGTGCTAGTGGCTGATTTGCCAGGGCCTTGTCAACTGCCCACTCTGCCTAGTGATTTGGGTAGGCCAACGGGCTTCCCTTCTCAAAGTGTTCATCCAGCATTGACCAAGGAAGGCAACAAATCCTTTCAGATGCAGAAAATACAAGTGACTTAGTGACATAGATAGGTTAAAGAGAATGTTAAATAACACAGTATTTTTCTATGCTATGCATTCTTGTGGTGAACTAAGGAGGAAAAGTGGAAGTAGCTAAATTTCAAATGAAATGTGAGCAGACACTATAAGAAGTGAAGAGTTGGTGTTCAGTTTACGATGGGAATAGAATTACAGGGGAAAGGGAAACACAGTTTTGAAAAAAAAAATCCCATGTCCACAGTCCACAAAAACTAATCCCATGACTAAATTATTTTCCTAGGTAAAGTCTACAGGTTTATGCTGTTATGTCTAACCAAGAACAATCAATCCTATTACCTGGGTTATGAAATATTTCCAAAAATGCTTTATTATTTAACATATTTCATACGAACTATTCCCATGGCACTATACCATGTTGAAGGATACAGGCACAAAGCTAAAATAATAAAATAACAGGGATAGTGGTTTAAACAATCATGTTTGACCAAGGCGGATGAGATACTCATACATGAGATGACAGCATCAATCAAACAGTTGTGTGCTGTAAGTTAAGTAGGCAAAAAAGATTTGTCTGAAACTGTGAAGTGTTTTAGAAGAAATCCAGAGATTGTTAAGAATAACCATCATTGAAAGTTGATGTGAATTAAGATGTAGCTTTGGCCCCATACTACGATATTTCAGATTAGATGCTGCCATCATAAGGTATAAGGCAAAACTCTACACCAGGTCAAGTAAGTTCCAACTTCCATAAAATAAAAAGGAGTTTACTGATAGTCAGTTCGAAAATCTCCCTGGTTGCTTCCTAACTGAGAATAGTGTAATACCAGGAACACCGAGCCTACGTACTTATTTGCACATGTGCTTCCTCTCTCCTGTATACTTCCTCAAGTAATATATCCTAACAATAAAGTTCCTGGTATTCAAATAAATGTTCCCAGACTGACTTAAAAGCAGAACAGCATTATTCTTATTTGATCATTTTAATCAAGTGTTACTGTTGATTTTCCTTAGAAACTTTGGAAATGGGAAATAAACAACTGTCATTTTAAAAACCAATATATATCTATATATTTGGATATACAATAGTGCATTTAAAAAGTCACTCAAGTAATATACACAGAAGAGACCAAGCCAGTAAATTGCATGCAACCCCCCAGGCAACCCCCCATCTTTAAGCCACAAAATCATTTTTAAAGTACATTTTAGCCTTTGCATTTAAGATAAACATTTGAAAAGAACACTTCGTGTTAACAGACTGGTATATAAAATAAAAATGCCACATTAATTGCTTTTCAAATCTCATGATCTTAAAGATGATGTCCATATTCATGTATTACTGAAAGGTTTTTTTTTTCATACACTGCTCATGTGGCACAATCCTATGAGCTGCTGGACCATTAAAAATTCAGTTAAAGCAGTGTACAATTAATGCTGGGCTAGTGTCACAAGGAAGCTGAAAATGTGGCACCAGGGCAATATGCAGTTGCATCAGCTTTAGAATAGTAACATCATGCACAGCTGTTCTGTATTACATAATAATGAATTAGGAGAGGTTATAAGCAGGAAGTAAGGCTGCAAATGACACCCTTGTGTGCCATCCCAAAGACATTTTGGCCACTATGGATATGTGTGCATAAGCACAGACCTGCTAACAGCAAGAATGCTGTTCAAGTGACAGCATAAAACTGAGGTTCTGGATTGAGTGAGGGAACATTTTAAAAGACAAAGAAGTGTTGCTGGATAATGGACATCAACCCTTGCAAAAGTCTTCCGACATAATGTTTGGGTGCTCATAACATGACTACTTACACAACTGTATCAGGCATGAATTTATATGCGAAAGTGCAGCATAAATGTAGGTTTCAATGGAAAACCCATTCTTTCTAAACTTTCATAATGTGATCACCAAATGTTAAATAGGGAACAGACAGGGCTTAATTTGAGCCAGACTTCAGCATCAGTTAGGGTTAAGGTTAGTTACATCAGAATATGTGGGACTAGATATAATGCAGGCAAAATAATGGGAGGCTATCTGAGCATGTGCTGAGTTTCACCATAACGTAAGTTCAGTTTGTCTCCATACATCTGAAATAAGGAGACCATTGTTGCAAATGAAATGTTATAATTCTCATTCAAGAGAAGTCCTATCACCTCTCATTTTAGGAATTACCCATTGGAACTGGCATTCTGCTAAAGTGAGAAGTAGAAACAGGCAAATGCATTTGATACTGGAAAACATTCAAGGAGAATATTCTCTAGGAAATGTAGTCCACAGCTCTCCAGTCAAAAGTATCAAGTAGACTTGGTAAGTGTCAGTATTTGACCTGGATAGTTTGCATATGTGCAAGTTACTTCAACATGAAAAATCTACAAACCAGAGACTGCTTTAGGCTTCCTGATTCTCCTGATTTAGTTATGATTGTTCAGAAAATACAATCACACACTCAGTGAAAGAAAATCCTTTTGAAACAGTGAACTATGGTGAATCTTTATACACACAAAATTCTAACAAAATATAAACCTTAGAAACGTACTCAAAATTTGTATACTTGCTTGAGCATGGTTATAAATATTTACTAATACACACTCTCTCCCTTCTCTGTAAGATACTTTAAAGAAAACTATAGAAGTTTGCTATAGTTATCTGACTGAAAGCAATTCTACTCCATTCCCCAGTAATAATCAAAATTTTAAAGGACAGTTTGACAATGAAATTAGATCTCCATTAAAGATACTTAATTCATTTTCTCTCTTCTGACCCAAATCCCTAATAAAAGGCTATGAAGAGAACTAAACCCTATGCTAAAGACTCTGAATTCTGGAAGCTGCGAGATTTAAGGGTATGACCTTAGCTGAACAGTGCAATTGCAGGACCAAAACTTTTCTACTGATTTATAGATACATATTAACCAACTCGTATTGCCCTGGGAATCCAGAAAAATGCATTAATAAGCTATGAAGGACTATGCATATGATTTCAAGAGGCTTAGAAAGTTTTGGTTCATAAAATGCAGAGCACCTCCAGGTTATACAGCCAGGCAATTCCTGAGGTTGACATAACATATACCCAGCATGCCTTTAGATACAGCTGCACTCCCCTTCAGCATGGCAATATAAGAAAGTATTAGCACAACTGTACCACAACATTCCTTGTCATGGCGAAGGGGCTTGCGCAGCTCAATGAAGCCATGAGCTATGCCGTGCAGGACCACCCAAGATGGACAGGTCATAGCAGAGAGCTCTGACAAAACATGATCCACTGGAGAAGGAAATGGAAACCCACTCCAGTATCTTTGCCATGAAAACTCCATGGACAGTACCAAAAGGTTAAGAGATATGACACTGGAAGTTGAGCCCCTTGAGTCGGAAGGTGTCCAATATGCTACTGGGGAAGAGCAGAGGACTAGCGCCAGAAAGAATCAAGTGACTGGGTCAAAGCTGAAAGGACACTCAGTTGCTGATGTATCTGGTGGTGAAAGGAAAGTCCAATGCTGTAAAGATCTATACTCCATAGGAACCTGGAATGTAAGATCCATGAATCAGGGCAAGCTGGATGTGGTCAAACAAGAGATGACAAGACTGAACATTGACATCTTAGGAATCAGTGAACTAAAATGGACAGGAATGGGTGAATTTAATTCAGATGGCCATCAGGTATACTACTGTGGGCAAGAATCCCTCAGAAGAAATGGAGTAGCCTTC